ATTACTCTCGTTAATCAGTATTTTTGTGTTATCAAAATCAAAATTATGCAACTTCTGTTGTGCATGCTGTGCTAATGCTGTACCATTTTCGTTATTTTTTCTTAGGCTATACTTATGTTCGTATATTCTTTTCTTTAGATATTGTCCTGTTTGACCCATGTACGTGTTATCACAATTCAAACAGTCTATTTTGTAAATTACATTAGGCGTGTCTAACTTGTCAATCCTAGGTTTAAATTTTGTGAAACATTCATTTGCTAAGGTGTTTTTAGTTTTTTCTGCTATGTTGATATTATGTGGTTTGAATATATTTCTTTATTTTTGTGTTAATTTCCGAAATATATGGTAATAATATATACTTGATATCACCTTCTCTTCTTTTATTTATGTTTTTCCATTTAGTTGACTTGCATATTTTGTTTATCCTTTGCTTTATGATTGGTTCAAAAAATGACCTTGGATAGTTGTTTATTAATACACTTTTTTTATATTTCATTTGATCGTACGATTGATAATTCAGGTACCTACCAGACCATACCTCCGTACCAATTTGTTTTGATTTCCCCGTTGCTATCATAATTAATTGTTAGGTCTAGAAAGTTTATAGAATTTACTCTCGAAGAAGATAAAGGAAATTCTATAAACTTTCTAGACCTAACAATTAATTGATATATTTAAACCCAGGAATTAATTTTGACTTGTTATTTATGCAGATGACACTGATGTGAATCCCCAGGAAATTTTTTGTTACAGTAGTACCGTAAGAGGGGGTTAGCTGGGAGGCACTCTACCTTTTGGCGAATAAGTTTTTCAAAAAAAATCGGTGATAACAGGGAACAAGCATAAGAAAGAAAACATTCAAATATTCTTATTATATTTTTCTTTCCCGGGTTTCAGACAAAGTGTGAAATAAAAATGTCCGTACCGTTTATTTCATATAACGTTTCGGCGAGACAACAGCGCCATCATCAGATTTAAAATTCCAAACAAACCCATAATTGGGAAACATCAGGTTCGTTTTAGGCTCAGGCTAAATGCTCAATACTTTCCGCTGTTTTAAAATTTCTTCAACATTCGCAATTTTCGTCCTGCTATTTTAATGTTTTTCTCTAATTATTCGCTTTACATTTTGTTTTCGTTTTTTCGAATTCTCTGCGCTTGATAATCAAAGATATGCGTGCTCTCGAGAAAAAAACTTTACAATGAAACAATGAAAAGTGCAGGTTTCGGAATCGCTAATTGAAGAGTATAACTTCTAAAGGGTCTAAGTGCCAAAATCCTAAAGTTGAGAAAATCAAG